TCACCTTTATAATAAAAAATTAAAAGCATGAATTTAGCTTCATACTACTTGATCCTATATTTAAAAATTTTTTAATTGATATTATAAGGGTGATGTACAAAGCAGGTAGTTTTATTATTTTTCTCTTTTGGTCAGTTGTGGGGCTTGAACTCAGGGGCTGGGCACTGTCCCTGAGCTTTTTCACTCAAAGCTAGCATTCTACCACTTTGAGGCACAGTGCCACTTCCAGTTTTCTGGTGGTTAACTGGAGTGAAGTGTCTTACGGAATTTTCTACCTGGTCTGGCTTCCAACTGTGATCCTTAGATCTCTGCTTCCTGAGTAGTTAAGATTATAGGTGTCAGCCACCAGTGCCTGGTACATTGTATTTTTTTAAAACATATTACAGAATATGAATTTATGGGTCCAATTCAAATGAGCTGAGAAAAAGCATTTTGATAAGGTAGGGAAACAGCTCTGCAGAGGAATGGTAAAGGATAAAGCAGTTATAGGTTGCTTTGTATGTCCCTCCCCCACGGTATAACCCCTGCTCTCACTGTATTTGATGTTGGTATAATTTGTGGAGGGGAAGGGCAAAAACAAATCGCTTAAATATGGATACAGGTGGACCCATTGCAACAATGAGATATACAAGTCCTTATGTCGAAAAACGAACTTTACAACTTTGGCGGCGGTGTGGGGGGTGGGGGGAGGGAAGGGAATGGGGGGATGGTGGGATGGGAAGGTGGGAAGGGGAAACAAAGGAGGAGGCAACAATGCTTGATAAGAAATGTACTCGTTATCTTGCCCATGTAATTGTAACCCCTCTGTACGGTATTTTCACAATTAAAAAAAAAAGTTAGTTATAGGTGTTTAGGATGTCACACATCTATAGTATGGATTGTGAAGATGAAAGTAATCCTTAGAGCATAATGAACTAAAATGACATTTGGCTCAGGTTTGCGTTGTGTTATTAACAAATATGACTGTCAGATTCAAAAAAGCATTAAGATTTCTGTAGTAAACAGCAGCAGTTGTTGAAAATGAACTATACACCTTGTGGATGGAGATAGGAGGGAAAAAATGGGAGGGAAGGGCTAACACTGTCAAAAAAGAAATATACTACTTACCTGACTTATGTAATTATAACCCCTCTGTACATCACTACCCTTTTGATTTTTGCCAGTTCTAGGGCTGGAATTCAGGGCCTGTGAAGTGTCCCTGAACTTCATTTGCCCAAGGCTAGCACTCTACCACTTGAGCCACAGTGCCACTTCCAGCCTTTTCTGTTTATATGGTACTAAGAAATTGAACCCAGGACTTCGTACATGCTAGGCAAGCACTCTACCATACTCCCAGCCCGTCTGTACATAACATTTATAGTAACAATTAAAAAAAATTTCTTATAGGCTGTAAGTGCAGATTAATAAAATGAAGGAGAAACTCAGCTTGTGAATTAGTACTAAGGTTAATCTGATCAATGAATTTCAGCCACAAGAATTTGAAATGCTTATAATTACAACCAGGCACTGGTGGCTCATGTCTGTAATCCTTACTCAGGAAGCCAAGATTTTATAATTGTGGTTACAAAGGCAGACTAGGCAGGAGCTGGAAGATCCATAAGACTCTTATCTTTAACCACCAAAAAAGCTGCAGGTGAAGCTGGGGCTCAAGTGATAGTGTTAGCCTTGAGCACAAAAAGCTTCGGGTAGGGCTGGGAAGTTGGTTCAGTGGTAGAGCGCTTGCCTTGCATGCCTGAAGCCCTGGGTTCAATTCCTCAGCACCACATAAGCAAAAAAAGCTGGAAGTGG